TGGAATTAAGTATAAGTCCAATAGTCCAATAAAATTTGAAATTGGATTGGACAAAGTCCAATAGTCCAATAGTCCAATTGTCCAATAGTCCAAAAGGCCATCACTGGTTGGGTTAGTTTCGTTAACTGACATGTTTGATAAATTTTTACATGACAAAGAATTGTTCAATGTTATGTGTGGCGAATGCAAAGTCTCGCTTTATTAATACCGAGACAAAAAATAAATACAAAGTTCGGGACGTAGCCCGCGATACATAAATTTTCTATGCTAATGGTGGCGGACTAATACCGCCTATTTTTTCTTGATTTTTTCTTGCACACGACGCCTCTTAGATGATGGTTCATCACTGACACTCTGACAGATACCCTATCTTTTAACAAACCCACTATCACCTCTAAAATTCTCTTCACATTCTTGCGCAATTCTGTATCATCGTCAAGGACGTCTTCAGTAAGTGAGATTCGATATTCAGTCTTGCTTGTATAAAAAATCCTCGATCAGAGATTTCGGGATATTGGTTAGTAATGAAAGAAAATATTTTTATCTCCCGCAGAAGCTAATGCTTCAAGGGAGAGGAAATTATGCTGGAGCAAATCTCACCTGTCGTGACGATACCATAAACATATTCATACTCTGAGTCGAAGGCCTCATCTACCTTCCGTTTCCTCTTGAGCATATCTAAGTTCATCTGCAGATGTTCGATTAGTTAGTATATGATGTTGCTTCGTAACTGATAAAGACTAGACATGCCTCCACTGCTATATTTTGATGGAAACTTTCCAGATATCCAGACTTGGTTCAGAATACAATTCTACACCTTATCAAGTGAGATTCCGGGTTCTTTGATTTCATCGCAAAGTATATATGATACTTAACTCAATCCACCATTCGCCATGCAATTACCCATGCTTCTTTCTGCATATAGAGCAGATTCCGAAACCAAATATCTCATATCTATCCACTTGATGTTCGCCTCCCTTATCTATGCTGAACTTTAGATCTAAACATGTTAGTTCTAAATAACGTGGTCCAAGCACTTACTTGAATTAACAACAAATTAATAACCTCTTGGCGTTCACACTCCCCTTTGATAGTTTCTTGCAGAGTACTTACCTGAGATGTAGATGGTACGCTCAGCTTATCTGGCATGGTTTGAGGAGCAGATGGTGCATTTTCTTCAGACAAGATTTTTGAGATTCTGCACTGAAATACTGAAATAAAAATACTTAACCAAAACTCACATCATCCCCTGAATAAAGCAAACAATTCAAGCTATTCAAATGCAATCAATTGTGTGTAGCGACTAGCGACATTATTACATTACAAGTATTACAATAACCAAATATTACTATCAGCTAATAATAAGTAATTATCACTTTTGAAATTTCCAACCCAAGGTTAATAAAATTAATGGTAATTAAAGGCGACTGGACAAAAATGCCCAGAATCACCGAAGCTAGAAGTCCTATAATTGTTGGAGTTGCAATAAAACAACAATATATTTTATTATAAATTAATCCCTTGATTGCTAGATCTACCATCATAATTACAATTTTGGCTGCAAAATAAACACAATTCATAATGATAGAAAAGGCTTTCGTGGATTCATCCGTATTAAAATATCGTGCACTTGCAATGGTAAGAGAAATAGTAATTGCTCCGTAGACTGCTACTGTGATTAGTTCAACCCAGATTTCCTATATGGTTTTGTAGGAAAAAAAAATCGACGAAAAAACTGGTCAGTGTAAGTGTAAAGTCTAAGTCTAAGTCTACTGATATCTTAATAAAGCAGAAATAATGTACCGATTTCTTTCGTTCTTCTAAAATTGCTTCCAAGAAATCGCTTTTTCTTGTGCTAACATTGTATCTCCTTCTTTGTCTAGGAGTCAAACTATCGCAAATTTTCTGAAGTTCCGGAGATAGTTCTGAAATGACAATAATGATAGTCATTAATAAACTTGAAAACTGCTATATACGCTAAAATCTTACTTACCGATAGTAACGTCGTTCTCGTTATTACCGTTATTACCGTTATTACCGTTAACCATTTTGTTTATTGAATATAGAGAAATATTTTATCAAGCGTTAACAAAGAAAAGAAACTTTATAAAAATAACGCGTTTTTCACCCCTTATAAATATGAAATTTATGTCACATGTTAATTTTATAATGCCGATCGAAAATCACGTGGGTGAAACAATAATTACAAGAGATCGAACCTTTTAGATGCTTGATTAACGAATTCCTTAATTTTTGTATCATATTAGGAATAATGATTTCCGGTTTTTCGTCATACCATACTTCAAGAAGGAAATTTTCATTATTTTGACAAATGCCTCGTTTTTGCCAGTCACGATTAACAATGTCTTCCAGTTTTTTAACATTCTTATACCAGCTAGTGTTATGAAGCCGATGCTGAGCCCCCTGCACCTCCAATGCAATTCAATATTTTTGGAAGAAGGCATCAAGCTCTAATCCTTGCATGAAAGATGGTCGATATTCAACTACAGGTTCTTCGTTAAGAACTTCCTTAGCTATCTGGATGCATCTAGTCTGAAATTTGCGGTTTTTCTTAGATTTTCTTTCCGTCCAAGCCTGTTCTAGTTTTATAATTCTTTTCAAGAGTTCAGCATGTTCCTGCCTCGCTTGCATGTTTGCAACCTCAAGCTCTTCAATTCTCTGTCTCATCATTTTAAGCTCGGATGGGTTAGCTTCACTAACTGACATGATTGATGATAATTTTATACACAAAGGAATTATTCAATGTTATGTAACAAATGTAAAGATTTGCTTTATTAATACATGCGAAAAATAAATACAAATGTTTGGGACTGTGCCCATGATACATAACTATTTTTTTTTAATCTAATGTTTATCCTACAGACTAACTAACCACCTGACATTTACGTGACTTGGAAATTCATCCCGTGTTCTTTACGAAATGTCTGTTATAAAGTACATATTTATTAATGATAGGAAACTAGAGTTACAAGAAATCGCAATACAGGAATTTGGTAATAATAAATTCTTATGCATTGTATTTATCTAGCAAGTTAGTGTATTTGAGGTGTTCCTCCTCAAAAAGTTTTCTCTTCTTTTTTGTGTCCTCCCGACTTGCCATCCCGAAGTCAATCAGGTAGATATCGCCGTTATCATTAATTAAGATGTTTTCCTCCTGAATGTCATTGTGAAGGATACCATACTTGTGAATTGCTTCTAATCCCTTAATAGCCCTCAACCTTTGCCGTTTCGTTATTTTATGACCGCTTAACGTAGTACTGACAATGGTCATGCCGATAATGAAGCTCATACCTCCTCCATAATATCCATAATAGACCAACTTTGGGATATACTTGCCTTGAATATTGGCGAGGTCTTTATAAATCTCGACTTCTTTTTGCATTTCTTCCAGGACGTATGGTGGGGCTTTTGATAAATCAACGCTCTTCAAAGCAATAGTCTCACCACAAAATATACAAAGGAGCGTCTTTCCACTTTGTCCTTCACCTAGTATGCCCTTAAACTTGAAGTCCGCGAAGCTAAACTTTTGCTGGTTTACGGGAATATTGCTGGAAGCGTCAAAGGCAGAAGATGATTGTTGGTACACCGATGTGTTGGAAGTTGTTTGTTGATTCACCGATTGGCTTTTTGACTGTGATCGAAGAACACGTGAATCATTATCCTCGTGAGCTGGTACTGGAACTTAGAGAGGGATTGAGGTTCCTCTTTTACTTGTTAGGCTAGATAAGCATATGCTTTAAATACCGGTGGAGATTCTGATTGCAATGGAATGGTTTTTGAGATCCAAAACTCTATATGTTCACGACGTAGAAATCAGTGATTATTGTAAGTGGCAAGAATACTATATCTAAGTTCATTTTCTCCCATATAATTGTAGATTTGTTGGATCACCATTCTTGTCTTTTCATCCGCTTGGTAAAAGTCGGGAAAAGTTTGATCTTTGATATCTTCTAAAACATGCTTTCTTTTAGCCTCAATCACTAAGATCAATGATTCTATGAGATAGTGGCAAGTGAAATCTGGTATGCCAGAAGTATGAGTTGAATGCTTAGAAAAATCATATTCTGACCCTATAAGTCTATTTAACATTAAATAAATATTGATGTCAATAGCAACATGAACATCCTTCTCATTCGTTACCACTTTATCTGGGATAAATTGCGGTCTTTCGAATCTTGGTAATTGATCAAAGTTGAAACTGTTCACTTTATCGAAAAAGTCGTCCTAAAGTTGCACACTAGTCGGTGGGTCACCATTAACTTTTGTAGTGATCTTTGATGTAGTACATTTAGGAGAATATGTTACGGGTGGCGGAATACACGACAACATCTCTTCCAAGCTGAGAATTGGAAACAAATATGTGTTAAAATTATGTTAGGGCAAATGACGAAAATTACAGACTATACCAGAACTCCAGACATTTACGTGGTAACTTTACAATGACATGGATATGCTTTTCGGGATGTGAGTCTGGAAAATATTTCGAAATCTTTTTCATTGCAAGGAGTTCGTCTTGGTCCTGGAGTGTGAGATTGCTTAAGAGATTGTCACGATCGTTAGGAATTTTCTTTTCCATAGTTTGAGCCTGTCTGCGTCTACACTAGCAAAGTCATTTTGTTTTTCCGCCTTTATAGCTTTTTTTAGCTCACTAATAGGCTCTTCCTTACTTATTTTAACAGAGAAAGCGTTCGCTAGAGTATTTCCTTTAACGAGACAAAGCAAAGTGATAGACATGTTTTTGGCTTATATAGTATTTTTTGCGAAATTTTATTGGTGCAAACTAGCGTATGTGAGGACAAGAATTTTATTTGCGAAAAAATACTGAGGCAGACTATATGTGAGAAATTATTCTGTTTCACAAGAGAGACCTGCTGTGCGATCATCTATATTGCATCACGATCGCCTAATCATTGCGCCTCCTAACCGTGAAGACTTATCACCTGAACGCTAGACTGGTTCGGATAAAATGTTAGATTTATAGTCCGATATTGCATAGTGATCGGCATGTTGAGAAAAAACGTCTGAGAAACTATCTTTCCTGGCCAATCATGTCTAATAGATCGAGTGTCTGAGCAAATTTTCCCAACACTGGTGATCAGGTTCGCAAATCGAACACCCCATATCATTAATATGTGACCCGTTTCTCATGTACATTCGATAAAATAATAATAATACTTTATTTATGTAATAAAAACGTTGCCAGAATCTGGCCTACAATACATAGAAATTGCGACTATATTGTTACATAATATGAATAAAAATACTAATTATTTTTTGAAGTCATATAATCTGTTAAATCTGTTATAGTTTTTCGAACACCTGTTACCAAAAGATAATGTCTGTAAGAATAACGCTCATTAAATTTTAGTATAACGTTATGCAAAGCGCTGGCTAAATTAATCACTCACCCAGCCCCTTGATATAATTCTCAAGTTCTAATGCTTGTCTTAATGTCATTCCATATTCCTTAAATTCCCATCTGATTAACTTGAGAAATGAATCACCGGTGATTTTTTCCTCCTCAAGCCTCGTAAAAAAGCATTACTGACTTCTATGCATTTTAATTTGGGATCTTTCTGCAAGAACTTGATAAGACTTTCCATTTCATATTCTTTTACCTTGTCAGCTAGAGTGGAACTGGAAGACATCTCGCTTTCCTAAATACAAGTCCATAGTGAGAAACTTTCATTCTCGTGCATACACAACTTCTGGCATATACATACCTTATTTTTGCATTATTTTTAAGGAATATTTTTTGCGGAAAGGTTGGCTGAACTTCCACATACCCCTACATGCTTTATATCTTACCAGGAAAAAAGTTAAGGAGATAAAAAAATAGTGATTAGCATTATCGTATGATGCCAAGAGTTCTATAAAAGCACATGTAAATGGAATCCTCATACCTCTTCACATGTAGATCTACCGGAAAGACATATACTTGGTTTTATGCCTGGTAATCTCAAAATTGCAAGTCCCTCAGCCTTTCATAACATATGCTTTTATTTCACATTTTTCTCATGCTTGTTCAGGAAAAATAAAGAATAAAAGTTAATTAATATGTTTTCTTTTCGAATGTATATGCAAGATTAATATTATACGAACCCTGTCTAGTGATCGCCTATTTTTGTCATACAAGAGTATATGCGTATAGCCCAGCAAAATTTTCTGAGCTGATGATCGATCATGCAAAGTACCTCAGTTACTGCGGAGAAGTATAGTTCCTGCGCAACTGCGGTGATTCTTACGAGAAATTATTTTTCCATTTTGAATATATATATATTATTATAACTGACAAAAATGACATCTGAAATAAAAGAAAACGAGATTGATACTAGCAATGAAGAAGT